TTTTTAAAGTATATTATATGCAGTAATTCTATTAGATAATTAATATAAGTCACGTGAATTAAGTGCTTCCAATCTTCCAATGCACATCACTGTATATAGGGATCAGAATATACCATATTTATCGATTTTAGCTATTTAACGATTTATATCGTTTTTAGTGATTTAATGATTTATAAGCGATTTGTAACAAGTATACTATAATAAATATCAGATTCATTTTTATTCGATTGTAAGCATATCGGAGGGTCATATCTCGGCTAAGCTAATTTTATATTTACAGTATTTGCATATGCACAGCGCTTTCGGCTAAATCGGCTTGTGGCATGATGTACTGTATATCGTATCACATGTGATCTCCACCAGTTCCTCGATAGTTCTAGGAGAGTTCCAGGAGCTGGCGAGTTTCTATAAATCACGAGATGATCGGCCAATCAGATTTCAGATTTTTTCTTTAGCCGGATAGCCTGAAAATGATTACGAATAAAATGATGTTCGAGATGATCGACTAATTTAGTCATGTGGATTTTTATTCGAAATCTTATTGGGAGAAGTGTGACATTCAATGTCACAGCTAAACCAATGAGACTATGCCGATTTATATGCTAGAATGAAATCCGGAAAGTTTATGATTTTGGCTCTGAGAGCCGTGACATTAATGTCACACTACTTTACAAATAAAAAATCAGCTTCTTTTAGGCGTGACCTTTGAGTATTACCTCTTGATTTGTCTGATATAAAATGCCAAGTCACGAAAAGTGACGATGATCACGTGCTTTGCCAAGAAAAAATACTTTATTTTTCCGATGCATATCATACTCTTACACACCACCCGCTGATGCAAATGATTTATAAAACTCGGAGTATTACAAATTGTAACACGATCATTTTGCCATGTATGGAATTATTAAACACAATGCAGTATATCGTATTAAGCACAAATACAATAAAAATATATTTTAAGAAAAAACATACAAGGTAAAAACTGTGTACCAATTACCATTAGCTCGATATGTTATACAATGCACCTTGAAGTATTAGTTTTTGAAGTCTTGGAGGGTGATGCCTCAGTGGGTGATTCCTTTATACTGCTGTAAGTTTGGGTAGTAGGAGTGATCTTCTGTACCGCAAGATAGTAATCCATAACTCTACTCTGTCATACAAAAATAAAGGCGTTAAATATATAAAGCAAATAACATGCATTAGACTCGAAATCTATACCTTGAACATGTAAACTTTTTCGATAACCTCTTTAAGGACATACAGTTGATCTTTTGAGTTCGGAATGCTAAACTCTGTTAGTTTATCAACAACATATATTCCTCCTTTTGTTCGATGCATGGTATAAATTGTAAATGTTCGTTCTAACGTTGATAAAAGAAGGATAAGGATTATACAATAGCTTTAACATATTATATGGCAATGTATTCTTTCTACTTACGATATACTATTATTCCATATGATTCTAAAGAAGTGAGTTGTTGTTCCGTTGCTCCACGTTGTAAATGGTGTTGGCGTTGATAGAAAATAGATATCTGCATACATTTAAGTACTTTTTTCGGTGTCTTCTTTTAGTTTTGTAACGTCAATATATATAGCACTTCCAACAACTTCTAAGAAACCTATTTCAAGAGCAGTTGCATTTACGTTAATTTTATAGATCTCGTCTTGGTAACACCCAATTTGAACTCGTTGCTTATATTGCCGAGTTTCGTTTCGTTGATTTTTGCTTAACGTGTTTTCAATTTCTCCCCTGCAAAAAGACACAATCTGTTAGGAACTAAAGATGATATCCTAATAATAATGAGCTCAAACTCACGTCTTCACTCGAATTAGATCCTTAACGTCATCAAAAAACTTTTGCAATTATCGGATTGACAAAATCTTCTCGGTATGAAAGTTCAGTTTGTTCAGAATCACACAATGAATTAACAGGTTCTTGAAAAATTAACAAACTAAAAAATAAATAATATTAGTTTAAATTAAATATGCCACAAGTGGAAATAACAGTAATAATAAATGTTTATACTTACAAACGCTTTTGTATATCCTGGATCCATATTAAATCAAAGTGTTCTTTATGCATAAAAGTGCCTGTATAAGGCCTCGCAAGAACATCCTCAATGGCACTATCCAACAAAATTATATCAAATACCGATTTACCCTCAAAATGGGCTTGATATTTTTTTAAGAGAGGCTGTAAATCTTTGTCCCACTTGTTTTGACGAATTGTCTTCGTTTCACTTGAAGGCTCCAACTATAAAGATCAAGTAAAATTGTTAAAATTTCAACATTAAATGTTAAGCTTACAAGCAAAAAGTATAATACCGAATTCCATAAATCTTTTAAAAGGCGCTTTTCGGATTCCTTTAACTTATTAACAGGATCTGAGGTATCTCGTGCTGAAAGATTGACAACCCGATATTCAAAGAGGCGACATTTGATACGTTTTATTTTTTCAATGATATTACGGATTTCTTCCGTTGCATGCTGTGAAATCCGCGAGAAAGAACATAATTAGAGATCAGATGAGATACGCTGTAATTTTAAGTTATGCAAACGAAGTGTCATTACCTCCTGAGATAATTGAATGCTTTTTATGTAAGCATCTTCGTTATCAACATTTTGCATATTTCGTGAATCAACTCCTTCGTGATCTGAAGTGGAATAAATGGAATTGTGATCCTCTGAATCCGAAAACTCTTGTCTCTCATTACTGCTCTGTTGTGATTTGTCCTTGTGTTATACACATAAAAAAAAAAGTTATCAAAAACATAGTTGCAAACTAGAACATAATTACCTCTTGGAACAAAGGGGCCACACCTGATGAAACGATTCGATGTGGAGGTGTACGTGGAGGAATAACCGGAAAATAATCATCCATTGTTTCCGTTTGGCAGGGATACATCTATCAATGTCATTCTTAGGATAGAGAATATAACAATGAGTACACAGTTTTAGTCAATATCATCCACAATTTTATTCATACCAGAGCCCCGTCAATTCTCCTCATAATACCAGTCGCTGTTCCAACCTGTAAAAGAAATGAAGCAGTGTTAGCTGTTATGCGTGTAAATTAAATAACAGAACATATTGCAAACCTCTGCCAATCGCATCTCCCTCTTCTTCATTTCAACTTCAGCATCAAAGGTTAGTTGTGACTCTATTCTATCCCAGAATAACTTTGAATCCTTGTCATTTAAACGATGTTTCTTTCCAATGTGAAATATAAGGTGCTATTAGCATTTGTTCTCAAAGTGAGGAAACGTTATTTGGAAAAAATGACATGACCACAACGATCACGAAGATCGTCAGAAGGACATCGCGAAGATATCTTTCCTAGTTGTGTGATCTCCTCCACATAACAGACTACAACAATCACGAAGATCGTCAAAGGACTGTCGCGAAGACACTCCTCCTAGTTGTAGAAGTTTGTGTAGACCCCACCACAACAAACACGAAGTTCATCAGAGGTACGTCGCGAAGATGTACTCATTAGTTGTGGGAGGTATTCCAAACAACACCTTAAGTCTGTCAAGAACAAACAACACTTACTTTAAAATTCTTATCCAAGCGGTCAGCATGAAACTTTGCTTCTTTTGGGCCATATTCCAACAAGTAATCAAGAGATCTTCGAAGTCTGAAGGATTCTTTCTTGAACGAATTAGTGAAACTCCCTTCTCTCTGATGATATTCGTAGAAATCGGAAAATTTCCAATCTTCGGGTAGTGTATCAATTTTAGATATATCACGTGACCTTTGTCCAATTAAAAACTATCACGTGAATCAAAATTATCACATACCTACTGTCAGAAAATGATTATTTGACTTGTAATTTCAGTCCAAGAAGATCTGTAGGTTAGAATACACAAATTAATATTGATGATGTAAATTATGGTAAGTTTGATTAGATTTTATTAGTTTCACTTGATTTTTGCTTATATTTGCGCAAGGCAGATAAAAGGGTTCACTAACTGTCTTGCCTTCTTTTTATATGATTTGTAGCAGTCCAAGAATCGGATTTGGAATAAATCTTCAGGGAATTATGATGGCATCACGGAAAATCAGATCAACGGATTCGCTCAAAGACATAATAAAATCCTTTATCGCTAACCATATGGGATTGTGCCCCTTGGATCAACAAAGGGGTCTATTATTACATGAGTATCTGCGGGAAAGTTCGAGAATATTATGCATCTACAAGATGTTACGGTTAATTTTTTCTTACGTCGCACAGTAATCATCTCAGCAATAATTTTCCTGAATATTATATTGCGCATTTATTGGAATGCAAATACGATCCTTCAATCCCCACAACCATACTATGCGGAATATTATCATGTAAATATATTGTGCTTAATGCAC